TCGACTCCTTATTTTGATTAATCCCCTATGATTATACATACGTCAGTAATACGTTTACAAAACTTAACTGTATTTAGATATTAATTTAAGAATTCATGAAAACGAAAAATTAAAACCAAAAACTCAATATGTGCATTGTGAGAACCTGATTTAATTAGCACACAAATCCATTTCTGATCATCATTATTGCCCGTGCCACGTCAAACCCCCTCACTTCCACTCTGCTGCGCCTGCCAGTGTCAGGCTGGAGACCCTTTGGATCTGTAGTGGAGAACATTGGCATCGTGATTGGACACTCGCCTACGAGAAGGATTGATTTCTGACAAAACCATCTCCCCGCCTTCAGACCATACACCTTTCTTTCTTCCTCTGAACCAAAACTTTAAAAGTTCCAGCCATTTCTATAAACCATTTTCATCTTTCTCTAGATAACTCACCGTCATTCTCTCCAATCTCTTTCAGACACGTAGAAACTTCTCTGCACTGTGAGCATCGTTTTGAACCGAACAGAACTGAGAACTGAACTGGTAAGTTCTCGTCTCTGCAACCTCATCTATTTAGTTCATGCGAACCAAATTCTGGTTGCAGCTGAGTTATAGGTCTGAACTTTGTGTCATTTTTTGTATCTTAGATTTAGTGAAAATGCGTGGAGTGATTCTTGGGTTCGAAAGCTTGTGAGTGATGCGAGAGAACCTAAGCACTTTGAAGAGCACACTGACCAGTGTCAGGGAAGCTTTTATAATTTAATTTAATACTGGTTGTTGTCTATGACAAATGAAGTGGTACGGTTTGTCTAAAATGTATGAAATATTGAATTTTGGATGTGCCTGAAAAGTATAGTTGCTGATGATATTAGAAGGTTGTGTGAAAACCGTATGCAGAGAGATAGCATGCATGTGGACTTATGATTTGAAGCTGCTTGAGTTGGAATGAATATACTTAACTGGAGTTGGATGATGATCGGTTGGAAACGGGGAGAAATGGAAGAGTTCTGGATTGATAAATGATAATAAATGTCTGATAATGTATGAGACTTTGTGTTACGATATTCTAAGTTATGGAGCTATGAAAATTGTTGAAGTTAATGTGAATGAAAAATCATGGAACTCTATTTTCTGAGTGAGGAGTCGCGCGTCATCGACGTTCTTATGACCATTCGTTTTCCCTGAAAATAACTAGATAGAATAGAATATCTCTTCATGGAGAGGATTCTATTGAGCACGAGCGTTTTTGTGTTGAAGACTTAGTTTTGGAGCGGTCGCTCAGCTAGAGTGTCCCCATTTAAAAGTCATATGCAGAGTATTAGGACGCTCGGTTTGTACCAGCGTCGTCATAAGCAGCGCTTAGTATTAGGACTGAGCGTTGTTCAAATGAGCTTCGGTCTTAGATTGAGCGTTGGCGATTGGGGGCTCGGTCATTGTGACCTGGCGTACGTCCTAAGAGGGTTCGGTTGTAGGCTGAACGCTCCGTCCTTATTATGACTCGGAGCGAACGTAACTAGCGGTCGTTCAAAATTCCGAAGTACGTGTCGGTCATTGCAGCTGGCAGTGTTCGTTTCCGAATTTAATAATACTCTGATTCTTTATTTAAACTATTGTAAAAATGCTATTTGATCTTCTTGATCAACCTTCAGTCGTAGACTTAGAATTTCCTAATTTATTTTCGATCTGGTGAGGCTAATCTTCAATTAAAATGTATTAAGTGTCGTAACTCCGGAATGGGATAAGGTGTCGTTGCTTTGTTCAGAACGCGGTTTTGCAGTGTTGACTGTAATTCGTCTCTTCTTTTGGATTAAAGATGGAGTTCTTTAATAAGAAGGGAGTGGAAAATAGAATGAAAAGGTGAGAAGAGAACTGGTTAATAATGTGCGAATGTGATTGATGAACTTTCTGAAGTGAATGGTGTGATGAGCGTCCAGAGGAACGCTCGCCATGATGTGAAGTGAAGGAGAAGTTAAGAGTATGTAGTATACCATGGTTAAGCTGCGAGATTGAGGCGGTCATCCTGATATTCCGTGAGTGCTCATCCCTATGTAGAGGGAGTAGTCAGGTGGGAATGGCAGAGGCCCCAGTCCTTTAGAGTACTTTGGACTGATAGGTTGACCCGGGTGGCAGATTGTGAGGGATCCCAGTAGTAGACACCACCCGGGTTTGCCAAAGAACGCCTGTAGATACAGCTTCATACAGTCCGGAAGGCGTATTTATGAGAATTGTGATGTTATATTGATGCTTGTGTGATGTACCTGTTGTTGATTTGTACGATGATTTATTGTTAAAGTTTATGTTGGTGATCATGAATTAAATTACTAAGCTGACCTTGCCAATTTCCTTGTGGTGGTACTACCTGTTTTTGGTAGTCGCGTCGTGCAATGCCATGATCATCCGGTTTGTGGAGTGGACAATGGTGAGCACCCCTTGAAGCAAGGCTGGAAGAAGAAAAATGTGGCGGATGCTAACTGCGTAAAGTAAGGTTAGCCCGGAACG